TGGTTGAAATTTCATCATTGCTTAATGCTTATTCATCTCAGTACTTATTAAAATTCACTTGGTTGTTGAATTTCTGCATTTATACTTCTGCTTTCCACATATTCAGGCACCTTATGTCCTATAACATTGTCACGTTTCACTGTTGTCTCTCACCTCATATTTTTTATCTTTGCTTTTAAGACAAAGTTTTATAATTTTTATTCCATACCTCCTTCAGCTTCCTGTGAACTGTAGTCTGGTTAACTACTGGTTGAAAAATTACTGGTGATAATTTCCACATACAGAAGGCTTTGCTAATAGCATCTTTTCTTTTTCATAGATGCTTGATTCTTGCAGATTAGATGGGAATAAGGAGTGCAGACATTTTAGGGGAAAATCATTTTTAAGAGAATGCATATGTGGATACATTTGATGGGTCCTTTTGTTGGATTGGTGTATTTTGTCAATCATTTTTTTTCATGCACAGGGGATTACATATCAGATCTGTGCTGTGATGAAACTCACAGAAAACTAGCTTTCTATTCATCCACTCTGGCTATCTGTGTGTCTAGTTCCCAAATTTGGTCAGGAAGATTTGTGTCTTGAAGTGGTCGAACTTCATCTATATTCAAATCTACCTTCTGTGCATCACTTAAAAAATTTCCTCAGCCACAAATGACAGGGACTACAAAAAGCAGTAGACTCAATGAAGTGGATTCTATTTATTTTTCCTTTGCTGTCAAATGAAGTTATAATAAGAAATTTTGAAAAATGTAGGATAAGGCACCATGTTAGAAAAGACAATGAAAAGAAAACCTGAGGTTTCAACCAAGGAATTTAAGTCAAATTAGCTTTGTCAATTAATTTAAGGAGGTATTTTGAGAATTAGATGAAAATATTTCATTTTTATGATTTACCTATATTGAAAACATGTTGTGAATTATGGTGACCAAGATTATATATTCAAAGTTTCAGTAGAGTTGGGTTAGATTTTTGTCTTTGCTACTTTTCTGGCCATGAGTCTTTCAATTATGCACTGTCTTTGTGCTCTCACCTCTAACAGGCTGCATGGATTCTCTTAAGGTATTAATCACTCATGTAAAAGTACTTGTGAATTTAATCATTTGTGATAGGAGTACTCCTTAAATTTAGATATTATCATCATTACATTTAACAAGAAAACTCTTTAGCATGAATTGAATGTGATTACTTAACTAAAAAGATAAGAATGTATTTCTTATGAAGGTGTGACCCTGAGAATAGAGATTATATATGCTCAGTTTTCAGGACATTAGGATTAATACCCAATGCTATATTTAATGAAATACAGAACATTAATAACTTTAAAAATTCCCAAATAAGGGAATATGGTTTTGTTTGTAACAAGAGCCTCCAAACTAAATGCCTAAATATCTCTTAAGAATTCTGAAGCCCAGCTTAGGCTATAGAACTCACAAAGAAAATTAAGGTTGTTACAGAGCCTTCAGTATTCTTTAAACCCTTCAGATGATTCAGTTAGTAGGTTAGTATGGAAACACTATCCTTACATATAAAATCTTTGTTTTATATTTAGTTTCTTTATTTTTAAAATAGAAGTCTGAACATACACCTTCAAAATGTGGACTTTAGGATTGACAAGAAATGTGAAAAAAATTAAATATATCCTAGAAATGGTATGGGTCTTCAGACTTAATTTTCTTTCAATAGCTACTTTAAATAAGTTGAAAAAATTATACAGGAATATTTTATATTTCTTGAAATAAAAAATATTTTATATTTTCTTAATGTCTTCAATGAATTAGAACTATTAAGTTCTAGAATCATGTTGACAATCCTGACTTTTAAATCATTTCTAATTCAGCATTTGTTACTAAGAACAGAAAAGGGTTTATCAGCTCCAAGTACAGCATGAGCAACACTCAGGGTCCACTTCTGGAGTAGCCTCATCTCCCAGGGCACCATACTTTATTGACGTCAGCATTTTGAAACAATTTGTTTGCTAAATGTCTCGCCAAAATCAGTGACAGTAAAAGTCTCGAGAATTTTTCAAATGTGGTTATTGGTCTTGGATGCAGCCACACAGTATCCACAAATGTCTAGAACTATTATTGCTTTTTAATTTAATGACCTTACCACAAAATATGTAACAGAACACTTAAAAATGACAGACAAAAAAACCTTATTTATTTTCAGAGTGGGGCCATATAGCTTCTTTGTTCTCTTAGCATTATGAATTTCTCCATGCCATGATCACTTTTACAACACACAGCACAGAGGAGGTTGTGAAGAAGAGAAGGTAGATCCCCCTCAGGCTACTGATGAGGACCTTTAAAAGCCTTACAGAATGTTTAGATAACTGTATAGCAAGACTGTATGATTAGATAGTAATCCTGGAGATGAATTGTTAAGTAGGTAGCTGGCATCATCCTAAGTATCACATACATCTGTAACTCCATTTGTATTTAATTAGAATTAAATGACAGTACCCTTAAAAATAAATCATTGTCCATGGTGCTGTACCTTAACTGATGCCAGTGTTTGGAAATAATTTGTTTGCTAAATGTCTCACCAATGTAGTAAAAGTTTCAAGAATTTTTTAAAAAAATATGATTGATGACATTTCAAAGGAAAACTGACTCAGACATATTTGAATATAGAGATGATTATATATCCATGCTATGGCTGCTATGTTGATAATAGCAAAGAAATGTAATCATCCAAGAAGTCACCGGATGAGTATATAATGAAATGTGGTACATAGACACAATAGAATATTGTTCATTTGAGCAGAAAAATGAAGTCATATAGTTTCTATGGAAATAGATTGATCTAGACAGATTAAGCAAAGAGAAAAATAAAACCAAAATAAGACATACCCCCTCACCCCATGGGCCATCATTAGCTTTTAATGTGTACCTCTGTAGATGTAAACAGGTATAAGTACGGGTAAAGTCTAAAAATCTAGAAAGGAGACTAAAAGAAGGTAATATTAGGTGATGGGGAAGAATTACAGTAGGCAAAAGGACAAGTGAAACATGGGAGAGGCATGGGTTTCCAAAAAAGGAAAAGAGGTGGAAGATGGTGGAGAAAAAATGGGAATGAGTACCATAAAACACATTTTCTTCAATTATGTCTTGATAGTACCTAACATATTATATGTTGCTTTTGAAAAAAAGGAAAAGAAGTCAGAATACAGTGTTGGTTCAGGACAGGACAAGTTAATATAAATACTCCTTCATTAAACAGTCAAAGGCATGGTAGGATATCAAATTATTGGAAAGACCTAATTTATATTTGACAAGATAAAGACATCAAGGGTGGTTGTAGGTTAATCATTATACAAATTCCCAAATGGAAATTCTTAATCTATGTATAAAACATTCATATTTGACAGAGAAATTCAGATGTTATTGTCAGTTCTTATTTCTCTATATGTACAAGTTTTCTTGAAGTCAGAGTAAAACTATTAAAGAAATAATTCAAGTGTCTAATCCTGGCATGGATTGTCCCTGAAGCTGAATCGGGGCTTAAAGTGACCAGGTTCCCCTCCTATACTGACATTGGCTTTAGTTGCCAGATAGAAAGATATATAAATTTGCCTCAACTTGTATACAAAAAAAAGTTTAGAAAAGAACCTTCACCTAACTCCAAATACTTTAAAGAACTTGTAGCAATTCTTATTATGGTAATGCCTCCTTGGAAAGCAATCTTTTGTCATTCTGAGACAAATCAGTGAGTGTTTTCTGGTTTTTAGGTGGGGAGGGGACATGACAATTACCTAGGAATGGTGCCCTGCTCAAAAATGAGACAAGTGTGTTGGGAATGAGGGATCTGGGCTGCAAGGTTAGCAGAAAGTTCATAAAAGTAGGCACACAGCAAAATCTGCTTTCTTGCTGATAAGAATTCTCCTTGCGAATTTTATGCTGGGAATCCATGGAACAGGTACTCATTTCATAGTGCAAAGCTTGGTGGTTCATTTTACAGATTTATGTGGCAATGTTCAATACTCAACACATAATTCACCAATGCTCTGGTCAGTGCAGTGGAAATATTTCCTTTGTAAAACACCATACAGCAGATGTCAATAAACAGAGCCTCTTCTTGAATTCTGACATGTGACTCTTCAGTGTGTCTGACTCAAAAAGCATATGAAAAAAATGCTTTTTGCTATCCAAATGCAGAACTGTATCTGAAACATTTTTGTGTATGGGTAAAATTTCACAAAGTCATCTTTCTTTGCCACATTATTTTCATCTGAAAAAGTCAAGCCTAAGCAAGGGGCTGTGAAGAAGGCTCATTGGGTACAATGTTCAGTGTTGTCTGTGCAAGTGCAAGGAGCTGAGATCCCCAGTAACCATGTGAATGTTAGGTTTGATGGCAGCTGTCTCTATTCCAAACACAGGTGATAGAGAGAGGTAGATCCCTGGAGATCCCTGAATAGCCAATCTAGCTAAATCCATGAGCTTCAGGATCAAGGAAATATACTATCTCAAAGAATAAGGTGGGAAAGTAATAGCAGAAGACATTGGTTGTCAACTTCTGGCCTGCCCAACACCCACATACCCACACAAACACATATAAACATGTATACAACATATGTATAGAAATAGGAAAAGAAACCATGAAGCAAACTAAAATTCTAGGTTTAAAGGGAATATCAAAATCATTCAAGGTGACATTTAACTTCATGCTAAAAAAGTTGGCTCATCTTTCTCTCTCAGATGTCTTGAAATGAATCATGGGCAGGCTCCTTTCAAGTACTGTTTTCCATAATTAACCATTATCCCTCGTTTCCTAGACTCTATTAAATGCTAAGGAATGAAGATGAAAGGTAAACCTTTTTATGTTTATTGTGGTGCTGTGTTTTATAGACATTTTATAATGAATTTGTTTATATTTTAGAATTAAATGGATGCATGTCATAATGGAGTGTACTTTTCTCCTACTGTGGTTATATATTATTTATGATTTATTAAAGCTTGCCTGAAAAATTCAGAAAACAAAGCCTCAAGCTATAGAGATCAGGTAGTGGTACAGAACTTTAATCCCAGGACTCAGGATGAAAAGGTAGATGGATCTCCGTTAGTTTAAGACCACACTAAGCTATATGAAATTGATGCAGTCCTAAAGAGAAACAGCTCACACAAAGATGATCTCAGCACTTGGGATCACAGGCCTTTAATCCCAGTATTCGTGGAAAGGTGTCTAAGGCAGGAGCAGGGTCTCAGAGCTGGCATTCATTCTCCAGATACACTGAAGATAGTAAGGCATAGATCCTCCAGCCACATTGAGGAGATCATAGCAGTCTGGGATTTCAGTCTGAGGTTTGGTGGAACCAGCATCGCCTTTCAGCCTGAGCTTGAGGTAAGAGCTAGTGGCCGGCTGATTTGCTTTTCTGGTCTTCAGCTTGAAGCTTGAACCCCAATACCAGTCTCTGGGTCTTTTATTTATCATGTTAGAGCCTACATATCCAGAGGAAACTGAATTATGAAGTTTTTAAATCAGGTTTGCAGGTGATCCTATGTCTTGTCTTTGTATCCACGGTGTACAGTGGGAATAAACTGACTCTTCTTCCTGACGCCTTTGATGCAGCTTGTGGCATTTGTTGCTTAGATTCTGGCCTTAATGATTTTTCTTTCTCAGTCATTTCCAACATTGTAATGTGTGAAATTGGAATACTCACTCTCTATTGCAGAGCATATTCAGTAGGACCTGATGGATGTTGTTTAAGCTTTTCATATTCTCCAAAGTAAGGTGCAGCATGCATATGTAAGTGTGGATGGCTGGGAAGAATCTAATAAAGGTGGAGACAAAAAGCACAATGTTTTCTGATGTCACTGCTGTTGCTTTTCATGGAGTATGCAGGAAGAGGTGGATGGATGTCAGAATCTTAAAAGACTAATACACCCAGAATGAAGACAAAAGTGTATCCTTTGTAAGAAATCTGCAAGGTATGTGAAAAGGTTCTCAGCACTAGTAAAATGTCAGTTAAAGGCACAGTGAGAAATAACCTCAGACCTAATAGTCAGTCATGACCCAAAAGACAAAATGTAGTGTTATCAAGAGTTTGAGAAAGATGTATAGTAGGCAATATCTCCAGATATGAGGTTTTCTCCAACAGTTAGCACTAGAAATTTCATATGAGATAGAAATAACACTTTGGGTGTATATCCAAAGAAAATGGAACCATTTAAGGTGGTAAAGCTGCACTCCCAAATTTATTTCTGCACTATATATGAGGCTAAGGTATGGATTAATGTCCATTGACAGACAGGAAAGTGTCCACAATGATCTTAGTCACATGTTAATTATATAAAAGTTTGTCTCACAGAAATAGACAATAGATTAGTAGAGTGGTATTTATTGAGAGCTGGAACACTGGTAGGGCAAAAGAGGAGAAATGCTAACCAAAGAATGAATACAAAGACCAGGCTGATGAGATGGCTCAGTCCATAAAACTGCTAGAGAAATAGGATCACTTGAGTTACTTCCCCAGAACCCAGATGAAAACCAAAGGTTGGGTGCTATGCATCTGTAACCCCAGTACTCCCATAACAAAATGGGAGGTGGTGACAGGTGAATTGCCCAGAGGCCCATGGACCAACAGCTACCCAGGAGAATACAACACAGCAGAAACAAGGAGACCCTGTCTCCACAAAGTGAAGAATAGTACTGACTCCTGAAAGCAGTTCTCTGACTTCTACAAATGTGCTATGGGATATGTGTGCCTGCACACACACACACACACACACACACACACACACCACACACACACACACACACACACACACAGAGAGAGAGAGAGAGAGAGAGAGAGAGAGAGAGAGAGAGCAAGAACACTAAAACTACCAAAACTTCCTTTAGACTGGAGAAGATCAGCAGGTCTGTTGTATTTTTCAAAGTTCAGGCAATGGACACAGGTTCCTACCAAAAAAAATTGACAATTTTGTTAGGTTGGACACAGTTTTAAAACTAACTTAATTATTCTGTTTTAGTTTTTGAAACAGGAGTTACTAGTTGGCTGGGACTGGCCTCAAATACTTGATTCACTGGGGTTAGCCTGCAGAACCAGACCTATCCCTAGGAAGATACATGTTAATTATCCCTAGGAAGGTACATTGTCTATCACACAATGTACATATATTTTGAGCCATTAGTATTCAAAAAATACATTATTCCTGCCAAAAGGGGGTTAGGGAACAAAAAAGAATGCTTTTTAAAAGTTCTACCAAATTTTATTTTAGTATCATAGGCACAGGGAGCGCATACATTCAGACTGGTCATGCTTGAGAGACCTGAAGCATACATTCTTGATAACTGTACATGTGGGAGGGTGTAGCATGAATAATAAAAACCCAGATACAGATATTGGGGATCAAGCTGAAGATCAGAAGAGCAAAGCAGCCAACCACTAGAGAGTTCTTACCTCTACCAAGTCTCAGACCAAAAGGGGCAATTCTAACCTCAGTGTGACTGCAGACTGACTGACTCCTGTCTCCTCCCAATTTATATTCCTCTCTAGTGCTGGGATTAAAGGCATGCATCACCACCCCTGACCTCTATGGCTAATGATTGTGGCTGCTGGGATTAAAGGTGTGTGCCACCACTGCCTGGCCTTTATGGCTGATGAGTGTGGCTAGCTTTACACTCTGATCTCCAGGCAAGCTTTATTTGTTAGATCATAAACAATGTATCACCACAGGAGGAACATGGCCTCTACCTTACTATGTTTTTGCATGTTAAGTCTACATGGGAAAACCATCTACTCAGCTATTGGAGTAGCATAGTCTATTCCCAAACTTTACTCCTGAATTCTCTAGATACCTGGGACAAAATAATGAAATTGTTGCCCATTTTCCCATTTTGCATGAACAATGACCTCATTCTCAGCTGTTTGGTGTGTGCTGACACAATCCTTAGCTCGTAGCAGTTGTTCATGATCAACTGCATCAATTAAGGGAGTCCTTCCCTAGCTAGGTAGTCAGAAATGCACAGAGACTCCAAATGAGCCCCTGGGGAAGGACTCACGTGCACAAATGAAATCATAATAATATCGGTAAGGAGGATACCTGTTGGTTTTTTTTTTTTTCTATTTTCTTTTTTCCTAGAGCAAAAGAAACCTTAGGGGATCTGAACACCTGGTGACATGGTTTGCTCAAATTCATTTACCAGTTTGTTCTCATTCCTGTAGGGGAATTAGCAGAGCGCTAAAGGTTTTTAAAGAATTCAGATGAAAAGCCATCTGTTCCCTGGGCTTTGTTCAATCTCAATTTAAGGATGGCTTTGGAGATTTCCTATTCCCTAATTAATTCCTCTAGATGAGCTTGTGGGGTTGGCTCAATTTATTTTTTGAGAGATGGAAAAAAAATACTCTCATCAATTAGTCCTTTGTTATGCTGTGACTGAAATGGAAATAGCTTTTTGCCAAATGGAGCAAAGAGCTGAGAGATGCTTGTATTTGCTGTGGCCAGGTGTCCTATGTCATTAGGCTAGGCTTTGATGTAAGTACCATTCTCAGGGACTTTCAGATAATTGGTGAGAAAGCATGTAACTTTGCAGAAATCTGAGTAATATTTGGACTGAAGGATGTATACAGGGACTCCAAATCACTGAGAAGGAGTAATATTTGAAAGCACACAATTCTAACAATTTTTCTGCATTATAATGTGCAATGCATATTAATTGAAGGCCCCCGCAACCAGGTTTTCTGTGTAATAGGCAGCTAGCTAGAGGTTTAAATGGAAAAGAAAGGAAGGGAAGTGAAAGGAGAAAAAAAAAGGAAAAGGAAAGAGGAGGAGAGGGGAAAAGGAAAGTCTGTCCATAGATGGCCTGTAGGTTTGGCAAGATATGTATTTTAAGAAAAAGAACAATTTACCTGCTTCAGTTATATCTCCACCCAATCACAGCATCAAACTCCCAGCTCATGGATGAGGCAACATCCAAGGAAAGTTGCAAGGTTGTTTAAGGCTTTCAGTGCTGCCTCAGAATGGAAGAAATCCAATCTATACCTGTTCTGAAAAGCATATAGAAAGATATGGTTTTCAAGAAAAATGCCTGGATATTAATTTTAGGAAGTTAACTAATGGATCTTCATTCTGTTATTTGCATTTCCGAGGAACCCAGAACTGTGTCTTCTTCTGAGGCCTTGGATTGCCCTCCTAAACCAGGTAAGTATTGCGGTTCAGAGCTGCAAGGAGGTTGTTGAGCATGAGATTGGGGAAGTACAGCTAGCAGGGTTGTTTGAGAAGACTTAACTTTTCTGCCTGGTGGACTATGGGAAGATGAAGGGAAGGGAGGCAGTGGAGTGGGGAGGTTAGAACCCTGCTTCTAAATTTCTAGGCTAAAATTCCTTACATTTATTTATTTATTTTAGGACAGTTAAAAGATAGAAAACAGATGTAATTACTTCACTTCCTGTTTGACGTTTTGAGAGGACTGCCTGTCAGAATACCTCAACACAAAGAAACACATTGATTAATTGGCAATGTAGTGTGTGCATGTAATATGATGTAATGCGATGGGGATGCAGCCATGTGCTATATGCAGCCATCTAGAATTTCTGCTTGTTCCATTGATGCAATCATTGTTGCTTCTAGAAGGGTCTGAATTCTCAGTGTAGACTCAGGAAACGCAGTAGCTGTGAGTTTTAGGGCTAAGTGACTCACTGGAATTATACAGACATCATGGATAGATGCATGAGAGACAGAGGCACAGACACAGATACACAGTCTAAGTGAACCTCACTAAATAGGCTGGGCTACCCACTCTAAGGACAGAGACAGCAAACTATGGAGGCAGGAGCAATGAGTATCACTGTGACACTAAGCAGGCAAGTGGTGGAAAGCAGATTCATGACCTAGTTGCCATAGTGGTTCAAAGACAGCCAGAGACATTTTTGGTGATTATTTTATTTAAAACAAGCTTGTTTACATGTCAATCCCAGTTCCCTCTCCCTCCCCTCCTCTCCTGCCTCCCACTGACCCCCATCCCAACCTCTTTCTGCTCCCCAGTGAGGTTGAGGCCTTCCATGGGGGATCTTCAAAGTCTGTCACATTTGGAGCAGGGCCTAGGCCCTCCCCGGTGTGTCTAGGCTGAGAGAGTATCCCTCTATGTGGAATGGGCTCTCAAACTTCATTCATATACTAGGGATAAATACTGATCCACTACCAGAGGCCCCATAGATTTTTACAACATTCTCCCCATCTCCATCCAAACAGACACTTATACATGAATACACAGGAACTCATGATGTATCACCGTCGAATAGAAGAGCCTCCTTGTCATATTCCGCAGATGACAGAATGTTAAAAGGCTTATAAGACAGGGCATGCCACATAATTAAAATGGAAGATGATGCTAAATAAGAATGATTTGATCAATTATAGGAAAAAAATCATTCAACATGCTAGATTGTTCTTACCTACCTGCATGTGCCAAAAGAAAATTTGAGCTGCACACAGCAGGATCATCTCCAGAAGTAATAATAGCAAGCAAGTAAACCCATCTGAGAATGTCTTTTAGAAAACATTAGGGGAATAACTAAATTTCAAAAATTGATTTGGGTTCTAGTCAGGATAAGTACCTGTAAGTAGCATGAGAGGGCAAAGGGTTACCACAGGGAAGCCCATGTCAGGAAGGGAGAATGAACCCAAATGAAATAGGCATAAATGTCTTATGGAAACCTCTTACCTTCTGAGCTAATTTAAACATTAAAAATAATTGCTTTGGAACTTTGCTTTACCACTTGGTGTCTTAGGTTGAAATTTGAGTTCCTTGTCATTACATTGAAACTTACATGACTGGTCCCCTGCTGTCTGTCTTAATTAAAATACCAGCCTCCATGATTTTCCTCTCCTCCTGGTTCCATGAATTTTGTCTCTACTGTCTTCATCTTCATACACACTATTTTTTTTTAGGCCTGGGCCCAGCTTGTTTCCTCCTGATTGACAGGCAATTTTTTTTCTGTATGCTTTCTTTCTTATTAACATTCAGCCTGACAGATACCAACTCCCAGAGCATCCTTCCCTTTGGGTTCCAGAGACACAGTGGACAACTAGCTCTGGTGGGTATGAAGGCAGAAGAGCTGGAGGTCAATCTATGTTATTACCCAGCATGAATGGGCTTAAATTAAGCATTGGCCTTCTTAGTGTTCACACAGACTACTGCAAAAGTAAGTTTCCTTTCTGATAGGCTGGGTTGCAGGAGTCAGCTATGGACAAGCTAGTCATTATTTCTTTATTATTAATTCATCTGTTCTTCAATCTTCTGTTTCAAGGCAGGGCTGTATTGAAACTTTATTTGGTATCTCCTGAGAACAGTAAATTAAACAAAACATTTAAAACACAGGGCACATTAACTGACAGATAATAAAATATCAGTATTTGTTTTATTATCTTTATTATTAGTGCTATATGATGGTTGAAACAACACTTCCAAGTAATTCCAGCAGTATTTAAGGTGTAAAGTTTTCTTTAAGTTACTACGATTCTTTCTATTCAATTCCCAGAATCACCAGCCATGTCACAGAAGTGTCTGTACTTCTGAGTGTGCCCCTGTTTCACAGTCTACCTGCTCACTACACCCAGATTTTACTTTGCCTTCTTGTCTGCATGCTAAGTTTCCCTGCACCTGCAGTGTTCTGTTCCGATAAATCTTTCCCACCAAAGCAACCGAGCCCCACTGACACACCAGCTGCCCGCCCGAGTTAGGCCCAAATGAATACACAGAAACTTGTATTAGGTTCAAAGCTGCTTGGCCAATGACTAGGATTCCCATCTGCTAACTCAGTCTTAACTATCATAAATCTATATATTTTATAAGACTTATCTTATCAGACGCCTTATTGGCGACCCTCCTTGCCCGTGGATCACATTGTGCTGCTGGAGGAGCCAGAGGAAAAGGGGGCCTTCCTATTTCTCCTTCTCTTAAATATGAGTCTCCTTGCTGTGTCACTTCCTGCCTGGATCAGCACTTCTCTACTACATTTCTGAGAATTCTCTTTGACTCCTAGTCCTGCCTAACTTGCCGTTTCATTGGCCAAACAGTATTTTATTTAACAATCAATAAGATAAACATACACAGTACATTCCCCATCAGTGTTCACTCTGAGCAACAGATTCATCTGTTAAGCAATATCTGAGTACTTTGCATGCAAAGGCAGGACTGTGTGTATCTGCTCTCTTCTGAACAGAAGCTGTGACTCTTTAAGAGAGATTTCTGAATCCCGATTCAGCCACTTACTAACTTGATGGCCATTAGCAAATTTTCAGTCCCCTCATTTGCAGTTTGGTGTCTCCACTTCTGACTTGTATATGAACACTTATTCTGGGACATTTGTCTCTTCTCTGTAGATAACTAAGACTGTAAACAAACATTAGGCTTGAATATTTAAATGTTATGCTTAGGCTTTCTCCTTCCAACTCTTGGCCTATTAACTTTTAAAATATATTTCACCTAATACAAAATATGCCACTGCAGTCAGAAAGACTACATTTAATGGCCAATCATAGGAGTCTAGGCATTGTCCTACTTTATTCCTGGCTATATTAATATACTCAGTATAATTTAGCCTAAAAATACTTAGATGCTTTTATGCTTTCTCTCCCTTTACCCAAATCACACTGTTTATCAAAGACACATTTTAGCAAGCAAAATTGAGAGTGATATAAAGAAAAGGACAAGGAACAGAAGAAAAAGTGTATGGACATTGTGATATTAGGAGGAAGTATATGGGTTTGCTAGTGGAACTTAAGGACACAGATAATACTTATTGATTTGATTGAGATCTATTTAGGATGACCGCTAATCCCTATTTACCTGGGATTCATGAATTCTCAGGATATGGACACTTTGCATTAAGTGTCCTTGGTCACTTTAGGTCAAATAAAATCTTCCAGTGCCAAATTTAATAGGGTGAAACTAAAGCAGCAGACAACAACCTGGTTGTTTTGGAGCTTGGATTCAGAAACTCAAACCACTGGTTGCTAAAACATTTCTTAATTTTAAAAGAAAAATTCATGGTGAATTCTCTAATAATGGGAGCCCAAATCATGTTCCACAAAAGGAGATTGAAAGATGAAAAGGGGTTCTCTTCCCAACTGTGGTTAGAGAACTGCCCCCCTTCCTGAATGGGAGGGAGCAGCTCAAGTATTTACCCTGTCTATGAGTCAGCCCCAGGGACCAATGACAAACAAGGGAGCTGTGGGGAAGGCAATGGTGCTGTACCCCTGACATCTGGTGCCACTTGTGGGAAACCTCAGTTATTGTTAGCTCTCCCTGCCACCATTGATTTAGACTCTGTGATTTCTGTCCAGAGTTGTCATTATATCAGTCTTTGCCATAAGCATTAACTTCTTAATACAAAAGGGATATTTTCCCAGAGAATAGGATTGACACTTCTGATCCCAAGACAAGACAAAGAAAAGGTCCTTATGAACCTGAAGCAGAGCTTAAAAATCTTCAAACTCAGTGGAGAAGGATCTTTGTAGACTTGTTTGTTTTTTAATGAATGCTATGGCAATTTAAAAGGCTCTTCAGAGCATGTGGTGATATCATCAAGTGAACATGCTGGAAAACCTGACATTAAAACCCATCCAATGGTCTTGGGTTATCATTAATGATGGAGGCAGAGCGACATCTGTTTAGAATGTTCTCATTTGTTACCCTACCCAGTACATATTTCAGTTTATGTTTTCAACATCAATGAGCTGATAAAATCAGGAAATCCAGATTCTTTTCTCTAAGTAATTGGCGTTATGACAAGCAATGTTAGACATGTCCTTGTGGTAAGGAATTAAAATATTACTGGCTTTGTTTTGAAACTGTGACACAGAATGTGTTTTTGGAATCTTTCTGAGGTGGTTTGGTCCCTCTGCTTTTCTGGTAACCACAGCATCTACACTAACCCTCATGGCAGTTTGGGAATTTCCAAAGTGACTATTAACAAGAGTCCATGACTTATGTAATGTTGTCTGCTTCAGCTTGCAGCTTGTCTTGGAGCAGGTGAGCAGGCTGAGTTTAATCAGAGGGTGGGAAACTCTTCATGCTTCACTGGAAGTTCAAGGTTAGAGCTTTCAGGACCTTAATGTGCTTCTTGGTTTCAGAATCTTCTGGAGAACTTGCTGAATATATGAGTTTAGAGTGAGGCACCACTGAGTATGCCTGCTGTTAGTCCACAGGCCATGGTATGCATTGTGGAAATTTATAGGAAGACAGTGGGTTATGAGTAGATGGGGCAGTGTTTGTGTAGGTCACTCGGAACTGATGAATCTGATTTGTCCTCACAGAGCAGTACAGTGAAGCCAAGCAAAGATTTCCTTTGCTGTGATAAACTTGCCTAAAGTCATGTACTGTGAAAACATCTATGTGGATGGTGTTTTCTGTGACATTTATGATTGCTGGTGGATTTGGTTGTTGTTACTCTGATGCTCAAGGAGATCTTGAGCTTTTGATTCTTTCAGCTGCTTGCTGTCCTGGCTTTTTTAAAAAGTAAATGTATTTATTTATTTATTTATTTAATGGTCCTGCCACAGCTTCCTCTCCCTCCTCTCCTCTCAGTGCCTCCTCCCAACCCCCTTATGTTCCGACCTCTTATCTACTCCTCTTCCCTTTCTGTTTAGGAAAGGATAGTTCTCCCATGAGTTTCAACAAAACATGGCATATCAAGTTTTGGTAAGACTAAGCACCTCTTCGTGTACAAAGGCAGGGCAAGGCAACCCAGTATGGGGAGTAGCCTCCCAAAGCCAACAAAAGTCAGAGACAGCTGCTGTTCTCACTGTTAGGAGTCCCACAAAATAACCTAGCTACACAACTGTAACATATATACAAAATGCCTAAGTCAGTCTCATGTAGGCTCCCTTTTTGTCAGTTCAGTCTCTGTGAGCTCCTATGAGCGAGGTTAGTAGATTCTGTGAGTTTTCTTGTGTCCTTGACCCCTCT